GTGCTGCTTTTGTCTGACTGTAACTTTACTGCTGTCTGCTGGTAGTATGAGAAAAAATGAGAAGTTTGATCACTCAGTGTTAATGTATTTATGAGCAGGGTCTATTTTGAAAACCTTTTCTTGGTTGAGTGTTCAGGTGTTTGTGGGAATCCGGAAAAAAACGAATCATTCAATATAAAACCCTGCGTGAGCTCATTGCACTCACTAAACACAGGCATATCTAAGACATTTTCTTTTAATTAAGATTTCCAAACTTCATAATTTTGTTTGTGCAACATGAAAGAAATTTTTTATAAAATATTAAATATAATTCTGTGAACATGTTCCTATTTTTCTTGGAAAACAGGGAATATGTGTTGTTATGAGACTATAAAGCCCATTTAGCTTTGTTTGTGATATTGCCATAAACATTATGAGAATGGGTGGGGTTATAATTAGTATAATTAGTCTTTTTAAACCATTCAACTATTATAGGCACTCACACAGGCATTTTTGATCTGAAATTGTTCTAGCAGATACTGTAGTTCTTTTTATGTGAAATACTATTAATGGCTTTTTTTAAATACTGGTGAACTGCTGCTATTATGAAATGCATGCATAAAATTAACTTGAATCTACATAAGGGCTTTCGTAGTACCATTAAGAAATGATCATCAAAATGTTCTTTTCTCCAATTACAATGTATTGTATCATATAATTGTGAGAATTACTCACATCTCTCTCACAATTCTAAGATAGGCTTCCTCACAGTTTGACATGCTAAGCCAGTCATGTAAGTCACAATAACAAGAAAGTGTCGAAAAGGCAAGCAGTTAGTCTCTAAAGTAATACTTTTAAAAATGGTTTAAAGTGATGGTACAACATGTTGGTACCTGCGCTTATTCACCCTTTGGCAAGAATTGGATAAGAGGACTGGTACCACTCCCATGTCTGCCTGATAATATAAAGGCTACAGCAGCTGCTGATAGTTTAGCTTAGCACAAAGGCTGGAAACAGGGAAACTGCTAAACTGCTAACCTTGGTCTGAGACGTCTATAACTTATGAAAAACTAGAACATTTCATTTTTACATTCTTTTATGTGCTTTTTTGTTTTTGTGCAGATTTAACAACAGCATGTTAGTGAGCTTTAATGGCAATGATAGGTGGATTTTGTCATAGCTGAAGTCGCTCCACTTTTCGTTGTCTTAGTGCTAAGCTAGCCAGCTGCTGGCTCTAACAGATATGACGGTGGTGTCAGTTTTCTCATCTAACTTTCATCAAGAAAACAAATAAGCATATTTTTCAAACTCTCAAACTGTTGCTTTATTTGCAGTGGTTCCATAATTGGTAGATTTAATTTTGTAAAGTGGCAAAAGGCACCCCCAAATCAGAAAAAGTTAGAAATTTATGTAAAATCAAAATTAAAACTGAAAATAGTTTTGTAATTTATACCCTGCATTACACTGAAAACAATACAGCAGCACATAATTTGATGTGATACCTCATCAATTTTATTCTTTTTCAAAATAAACACTCCAATTCTGATGCCGCAACACATTTCAACAAAAGTTGGGACAGTAAAGTATTTACCATGGTGTGATGTTGCCCTTCCTTTTCACAACACTTGAAAGATGTTTAGGGACTGAGGAAACCAAGTGATTAAATGTGTCGGGTGTCATTTTGTCCCATTCTTCCTGCAAACAAGTCTTAAGGTGCACAAAAGTCCTGGGTCTCCGTTGATGCAATTTACATTTCTAAATGTGCCACACATTCTCTACCGGGGACAGGTTGGGACTGCAGGCAGGCCAGTCCAGCACTCGCACACTTTTCCTCTGTAGCCATGCCTTGTTAAAGTGTGCAGCATGAGGTTTTGCATTGTCTTGTTGCAATATGCATGGGTGTCTTTAAAGTGCCATTAGGACAGTAGAAAAAAATTCTTTCTTTTTAGTTTATTTTCCCATATGCTTTGCGTTTAGCGTCCATGCTTAAGAATGTGCCAACCTTTGGAAATAAAGGTTATCAGAAACTATGTCAAGAAATAAAAGAAATGCTTTATGGATAGAGCACCAAATATCAGTATATGTATTGCATGATTGATTGCCACTGACTGGCTTCACTGTGGTGCTGTGTGATACTGAAAAAACTTTTTTTCTTTACAGGGAATCATTACTAATTTGTTGACATTGCTGCAGATGCAGAAATGCTTCATAGGTTTGGAAACAAACTCAGGAAAACACTGCTGCTGTTACTATCTTTATGTTTGTCTGGTTGATTATGAGTGTGTCTTAGGAAACATGGAATACTTTTAAAAATTGAATTGAATACAATAACTGCCAATATCATGTAGCTTGTTTAAAATCAGACTTTTATTCTCTTTCATTGATTACATTAAGCTAAATTTTGCTCTTCTGTTCTATAAACAATATGTTCTCCACAATAACTTGTGAATCAAACCACTTTGTGTCATGTGTTCTTCATAATGTATAGTATCTGCAGGACTTCATCTGAAATTCCTTTTGCAGTCCAGCTTTTACTGCTGTGAACATGACAATATTCCTCTATGGGACACTGTATGGCTTCTAAAAACAGCAAAACTCACTCTTCCCAGTATACAGTACTTGTACCCCTTTTACTTCAGATTTCCCAAGACTGACCCTGGAGTAATTTACCCCAGCAGCGGACAAGCATTCTTCCCAAAAATTTCAAACATCAGCTGACGGTCAGAACTGTAGAGAAAATCATCAGTACTAGCCTGCCCTCCATGGAGGACCTGTACACCTTACGGGTGTACAGGGCAGAGAGGATTTCTGCGGACCCCTCTCACCCTGGATATAAACAGTTTGAACTCCTCCCCTCTGGACAGTGCTACAGATCACTGTACGCCAAGGCATCCAGACAGAGGGTTAGTTTCGTTCCCCGGACTATTACAATGATGAACAGATAGTCTATGTTGCTCTTCTAACTTGTGATTTTTTTTTAGCTTGTATATATTGTGTATTTAGTTTTTATGTTGTGCACATTGGGGGCCATTGAGCTGGAGGCAAATTCCTTGTGTTCTTGAAATACTTGGCAATAAAGTTTATGCTTATGCTTATTCTATCAATCTTCTGCCTTCAGGGACTGATCGGGTGGAGAGTCCACATGTGGTGAACGTCATCCTCCCAGAGCATCGAGGTTATTTTGTGCAGCATTTGGGCTACTTCCTGGCAACTTTCTTACTTTTGGCGTTCATTGTTGTTGCTGTCATTGTGATGACTCGACGGCGCAAAAAGAGAGGCTTGTAGTTAGGGAACAGAGAACAGAGATCAGAGAACAGAGACTCTCCTCTTGCAATGGAATAGATAAAGCATAAGGAGATTGTCAGAGCACCAGTCAGTCAAGTCATTGGTTGTCAGTCCCGAGTCGGTTCCCCTGTCAGCCCCAGTCAGTCATCGTCTCCCCCCGGCCCTCCGAGGCCGGGCTTGTGGTACACTGTTCACGGTAGCATGGTCATCCTTTCTCTTCCAGGCTCACTCCTTTATCAGCTATATAGCTACTTCCCAACAGCTGGACTTTGTCAGTCTTGATGTCCATCGGGCCCCCACCTTTCTCACTCCTCTATTCTGGGAACCCCCTACAGCTTGCACTGGAAAACAGGAAGTCTGACCTAATGTTCCTGCAAAGATCCTCACAAAAGAACAGGGAGTTTATCTCTGACCATACTTAGGATTTAACTAGAATTCTTAGAACTATGCTAATAAGTTTTAACTATACAAAGTTTGCTCTGAGATGTACTTCGAAAACAGGAAACATCTTGACCACTTACATAAGCCCAACTCACATGAACTTAATGAACCCATAACCACTCAGCTCTCCCTCACACAAGCTAATAACAGATATGAGCTACATACTGTTCTATTACATATTTCTTCTGGAATCTGGTTTATTGCTAACCACTACACTGTGCTTCTATTTTTGGCCGCAGACTCTTACAAGATGAGTCATCATGGCAAACTGCAAAGTGGAGAATTCTTGGCAGTATCAGTTCTGTACGCACCCATCTACTTACGGGCAGCTGTGACTCAGCAAGAAAGCAGTTTGATCCCCAGCTTCTCCAGTTTGCTTGTCGAGGTGTCCTTGGGCAAGATACTAAACCCCAAGTTATTCCCTGTGATATCATCAGTGTCTGATTGTGTGAATGCTTGTGAGTGAATGGGTGGATGGCTAAATAGTGTTAATGTGCTATGAGTAGTCTGTTGCTTAGAAAATTCAGTTCAATTCAGATTTATTTGTATAGCACCAAATCACAACATGTCAGGTTTTCCCGGCTGCACCTGCCGCTCTCACTTCCCTCTCTTTGTTTATCGTCTCCTGATTACACCACCTTGCACACCTGCTTCACATCCCTTGATTAACACCAGCTGCACTTCATTAGTCCTTCACCTTACTTGTACCCGGCTCATATACTACTCCCTTGCCAGTTTGTTGTCACTCTCAGACCAACAACCAGCGCTATTCTCTTTTCTAGTGCTTGTTCATGTTTATCCAGTTTTTTTTCCCCTCTCGTCCACCTGCTCTGACAACCAGCGCTATTCTCTTTTCTAGTGTTTATATGTTTATCCAGTTTTTTTTTCCCCTTTCGTCCACCCGCTCTGTTCCTCCCCTCAACCCTCTCCACGGACAGTTACCTTTTCCCCTTTCGTCCACCCGCTCTGTTCCTCCTCTCAACCCTCTCCACGGACCGTTACCTTCGGACCGTATGTCCTCCCCACTCTTCCAGCCTCCACCAGTCAGGTTGGTACACAGTCGTCAGGCTCCATCTGCTTACCACCCATTTCTACTCTGTCTCCTCAGCCGTTACCACCTCCACCGGCCAGCCTAGGAGTGACCTTAGTGTCCGCAGCTAGGCCAGCTTCATCTATGCCAGCTTCATCTATGCCTCCCATGTACTGTTATTGCTGGCTGATCAGCACACAGTCATTCTCATTCCCCATTTTCCTGTTTAGCCTTCCTTCTCACCTCACCTGTGTATATAGTCTGTATAGCACAAATAAATATTGCTTGCGCTGAAGTCAGCCATCTGGGTGCATTCTTTTTTCGCTCGCTCACCTTCCTGTGTGTGAGCGAGCACGAATAAATATTGCTTGCACTGAAGTCAGCCATCTGGGTGCATTCTTTTTTCGCTCACTTACCTTCCCATGTGTGAGCACATTTATAGAGGAAGACTCAACAAATATCCCTTGAGCAAGCACTTGGTGACAGTGGGGAGGAAATCTCCCTTTAATGGAAGAAACCTCCAACAGACCCAGGCTCTTGGTGGGCGGCTTTTTGCCTTGACTGATTGTGGTGAGTGGATAGAAGAAAGAGAAAAGAAAAGCAGCAAGACAAAAGAAACAAACACTGGGCAGGTTGATGTGGTCCATGACTGCTCAACAGAAACCTAGAGCATCATGGAAGGAGCCCCAGCAGTTTAGATCTGTAGCAACATAACCATGGGAAGGCTCAGGGTCACTGAGCCATCCCTAACTATAAGCTTTATCAAACAGGAAAGTCTTAAATCTAATCTTAAAGGTAGAGAGGGTGTCTGCTTCCCAAACAAGGAAGAAAAGTGCTATACAAGTCCATTTACGATTTTTATTTGGACAAATTGCAGGGGAACAATCTGGACAGATTTTGAGTTTGTATTGAAGGGCTAAAAAACAGAAAAATCATTTTTAGCCATTAGGGCAATTTTGAATTTCTGGTTTACATACAGTGCTTGTCTTTATACTCTATGAACAAAGCATTAAAAAAACAAACAAAAAGTCCATGACCTAGCATATTTGTGACTCACATAAAACCTTATTTTTGTATTCCTAATTTTCATTGATAGAATGCACCAAAACAATTTTACTTTCCCCCATTATAATGTCAAAAAAAAAAAGGTTTTGTCTGTAACATGTATTCACACATTAGGCAACCTTGACAAACGTCCAGTTACAAAAGCCTGGTGCTCAGAAATGAAAAGCAAAAAAGAAAAAAAGAGGTGCAAGGGACATTATTTCTCTTGATTTATGGTTCTACGCTATACCTATGGCATAGGAAATGTATAGCCACATGTCCTATGCTGTAGCCTGATGTGCGCCTCTCCAGAAATGTAACATGTTGTGGCAACACAGCCTGCAACAGCTGTAATTGGCTGTAGTGCAATTCCTGTTTTCTGCTCTGGTTTCATCAGAAATTCTAACACCCTATTTAAAGTACTCAAAGTCTGTGCTGCTAGCTCAGACCATGTAATGTGTGACTGTGTGTCTCCAGATGGGTTTTGCTGGGCTAATCCAAGTCAGAAGCTCTGAAATGATTTTCCAGTTCTGCCTCAGTGTATTATGTACAGTATTATAGTGTTGTGAAAAATTCGGTATTAATGTAAATATGCATTTTTCAGAATTTGGGCATTTTATAATCTTAAAAATCTTAAAAGTTATGTACCAGAAACATTTAACATTTTCTCAAACTTGTTTTTACATGTGAAAATTAAAATGAGTTTTGTTTCTCATTGATGTTTTAAATCTGGGACAAGAAATATTAATCTTCAAAATCTTACTCCTGCACTTACTAATGTAACTTTACACCAGTTTCACCCTAACTGCTCTGGTCTTACTTCTGCTTTAGTGTTGGGGTTTGTCATTTATGATTGTCAGAGGCATCAAAAAGGTGGTGCCATAATGGGATGCTGACAGGGGAACTCACTGTTGATCAGCAGGTTGTCCTTCTTTTTATATGTACTCTACTGAAACACTGGACCAGGTGCATCTTTTTTTCTCATTTACTGGTGTCGCAGCCAGAGACGTGAACATGTTAGTGCCCAGTTATGCTCCCTGTAGACATTTATGGACAGCAGGTGCAGCAAGACACTAAACCTCATCATCCTGATTTTGCCAGTGTGGCATGGGGGCAGATTGTTACATAAGGTTTCTCTGAGCTGTTCTAGAGGCATGAATGCATGATTAAATGAGTGACATCTCAAGGTATGAATCACTAAACAAAAATCTGAAGCTGGCACAGAATGGTTCATTACTTACCTGTCACTTAACAGGTTTTTAAAGCTAGACTGATGCAGACATTTTGGATGGCATTTTAATTGAATGCCAGAGTTACTGATCGTAAAGTTGAGGCTGAGTTATGAATGGAAAGGGACTGAATGGGGGTTTGAAAATGCATCTGTTAGACTTCAGTGCATTAAAGCATATAATTCAAAAGCATAGCATGGCAATCTTAAAGGGTATAATAACGTGGTTGATCAACTGAAATAATATTAGATGTACTTACAATCTGATGTGCTATTACACTGGCAATATTTGCCAAACTTAAAGTAAAGAAAAATCATGTTAGAACGGTGA